CCGGCCCAGCGCACAGCCGCCCGGGCCCTGGGTCTGCGTTACCTTTCGGAACCCCTTCAATGCTTTAGCCTGCTTTACCTCTTCAGAGGGCCGGTGCCAGAGGAAGGGGTTCCCCTCGGCCTCGCCCCCCAGCTCTCGCTTGTAGTCAGCGTCACACATGCCTTCCCGCACGGCCCGCACCAGGCGGCTGTTCTGATCGCCGTACTCGCCGGAGGCCACTTCCATGACTGCGGGGACAGAGGCGGCGTCAGCCCAGCTTCCGCCTAGCTGCAAAGCCGCTGGCAGGTTGGGGGCATCTGCCCGTCCTGCCGCAGCCTCAGAGTCTCTCCAGGCCCCATCCCAGCCCTTCTCTCTGGGGAACAAACGGAGCTGCTGGAGCAAGGTCCCAGAGCTTCTAACCGTGCCCTCCTCCTCCCGCCGGCTTCCTGTGACTGGGCAGCATTCCCAGCAAGGGGTGGCGGCGCACACCAGAAATCGCACGTGGGGGGCTGAGGCAGGAGGATCCCAAGTTCCAGCCCAGCCTGGGCAATTTAGAGAGTGAGTGAGAATCTTCTCAAAATTAAAAATTAAACGGGCTGGAGATGCAGCTCAGTGCAAAGGCTCTGGGTTCAGTCCTCAGTCCAGGAAAAACCAAAATCCAAAACAAAACAAAGCAGTCTCCCAGAAACACACCTCAGGAACACAATCTGGAAAGTCACATAGCAGAAAGTAAGGAATTGCGAGAGTGTGAGCCCCGATGCTTTGCAGAATCACAGCAGACTGAGGAATGCTGGTGGCAGGAGACTGGCAGAGGACCCCCACGTGAGTTTCTGGGCGCCCTGACCCCGGGAAGGGTCTTCGAGGGTCTTCTCCTGGCAGTACCCACACCCAGGGATGGCGTCCCCACCAGGACAGAGGATGCGGGGCAGAGGACGAGGCCCTGGGCGAAAGGAAAGCTGGTTCTGAGGCCCCACGGGCAGGGCCCCCGAGAGACTCCCTGGGACTGGCTCACCGAAGTCCGCGGGGTTGTGGTAGGTGGGGCAGTTCAGGCCCAGGTCTCTGAGGTAGGGCACGAGGTTGGAGACCTTCCCCCGGTACACACACTGGCCCTGGCTCAACACGTACAGCTGTGGGGGAGAGGAGCACCCGCTCTGGGACCCTCAGTCTGTCGGTGGAGCAGTGATTCAGCCCACCCACCCAGCAGAAACCGGGGACAACGGAAGTACAAGCGCCAGCTCTAGTTTCCCAGCCCCAGCCTGGCTGGCGTCTGGGCAGGGGCAGGCGGAAGTCTGGGGGGTCTGCAGGGGCAGCGGGCCCAGTACCTGGTCGAAGAGCTCGAAGAGCTTGGCACTGGGCTGGTGGATGGTGCAGACGATGGAGCGGCCACCCTGCGCCAGCCCTTTCATCAGCGACACCACCTGGAAGCAGGACGCGCTGTCCAGGCCGCTGCAAGGCAAGGGTCGTGAGGTGGGCATGGCAGGGACCCCAGCTGCCCACTCGTGGGGACCATGGCAGGGTGAGGTCCCTGCCCAGAGCGGAGCAGCCCGGCATGACATGCGGAGGACCTGGGGGATGCAGGGCCCTGTCTGCCGAGTGGTCTGAGCCAGAGTGAGCGGACCCCAACCCCACCCAGCTGGGGCACGGCAGTGGAGCCCCGAGGCATGCGGCAGGATCTGTGGGTCCTGGGGTCCCTCCCGCCCCTTCCCTTCCGTACACCCCCACTGCCCCTGCATCTGTTCCTCCACTCCGCAGCCACCGGCACAGGGGACCAGGGGACGAGGGGGCCAGGGCTCCTCCAGGGGCAGGCAGCATTCAACAGGGAGGGGACAGGAAGGAGGGAGGTAGGGAGGACTCTGTCTTTTTATTTGCCATACTGGGGACTGAACTCGCAGCCTCTGTACCGAGCTACACCCCTAGGACTTTTTTAGTTTTTATTTTGAGATAATGTCTTACTAAGCTACTAACTTGTTCAAAGTGGACTCAGACTTGCAATCCTCCTGCCTCGGCTTCCCAGAGCCCTAAGATTACAGGTGTGCACCACCACACCCAGCCACCCAGAGGCACTCGTAAGGGTTATGTGCAGTCCCCCCGTAAAATGTCTTTACAAAGCTTCCATGCACCAAGTGCTGGGTGGGGTGAGGGCCACAGAACAGATGCGCCCCTGACCCTGAGGTCCAAAGCCCGCTGTGAGCCTGGCTGGAGCCTGGCTGGGAGGTTGAGGCAGGAGGGTTGCACAGGTGAGCGGTCGGGCAGGAAGAGGACAGCAGAGCCTGAAGAGGCTGAGGAACAAGCAGGGCCAGGCCCACCACTTGAGCCAGTCGGGAGCAAGCCGGCCAGGCTCTCTGCCCGCGATCCTGAGTGTAGCTGGTGTCCCAGGACGGGTGTTGGGCCCAGGGGCACACAGCAGACAGTGTTTACTTAATTTTACAGACTGGCTGCAGGAGGTGGAGGCTGAGTGGGGCTCTCAGAAGTGGAGGCAGTCCTCCCGAAACCAGAGTGCCCTGAACACCAGGGTGCCTGGACATCGCTGTCCCAGAGCGATGCAGAAACGGGAATGAAAGGACATTCTGCGCACACTCTGGGGTGGTCAGGATCAAGACCAAAAATGAGCTCGGAAACACTGCAGCCTCAGGTGCCGCTGGGGACAGAAAGGGTGTGCAGAGTGGGGGTCCATGGCCTCTTCCTCAGTGTGTCCTGAGATACTGGCCTATAGGGCAGCTGTGCCATAGGGACCCTGCCGTCCCAATAGAGGGAACACTGGATGTCTCCCCAGTCCAGGTTCCCATGTTCAAGTGGTGCACGCCTGTCATCCCAGCACTCTGGGAGGCTGAAGCAGGAGGATCCCAAGTTCAAACCCAGCCTTGGCAATGACCGAGCAAGACCCTGTCTCAAAAAAATAAATAAAAATTTAAAAAGGGCTGGGGACAAAGGTTGGTACAAAGGCCCTGAGTTCAATTCCTAGCACTGCCTCCCCTCTAAAATAGAAACCCAGCACATGGCAGGGGCTGAGCACACACGTGTCCTCGGCTCCTCTGCCTGTGACCCTGCAGTGGGAGGAGCAGCTCCTGCACCATCCCCTCTGGGCCGTGTCAGAGGGCAGGGCCGCCTGGAGGACGGAAGCCGACGGGCTCCTCCCTGCACGGGCGGCCCTCGGCCCGCTTACCTGGTGGGCTCATCAAAGAACATGACTGGGGGGTTGTTGACCAGCTCCAGCGCGATGGCCAGGCGCTTCCGCTGGCCGCCAGACAGGCTCCCGGTCCGTGTGTTGGCACAGGACAGCAGGCCCAGGGCCGTCAGGATCTCCTTGACCTGGGACAGCGGCACGGGGGTCCATCAGGGGCCGTCCTCCCAACCGTGCCCGCCCCGGGGCCACTTGTCAGGGCCCGCTGGTGCCCACACACACTGTCCGAGCACAGGCCAGGCCATCCACTGGTGTTCACACACCACCCAGTGGCCAAGAAGCAGGGGGGCCTTGGACCTGTCCCTGGCCAGTGACCTCTGCACTTTTTTTTGGTACCGGGGATTGAACTGGAGACCTGGTGCTTGTGAGGCAGGCACAGCACCACTGAGCTAAATCCTCGGCATTGGACCACACTTTTGAGCCTGGCCAGGTGCTCCTCACAGATGGGCGTCCCCCAAGAGTCTGACCCCTGGGCGGACCAATGGACGCAGCGGATAGACAGTCGTGATTCTTATTACTCTTCTCTTCCTGTGTCCTCCTTTCATTCTTTCTTCTTTTGCAGCACTGGAGATTGAACCCAGGGTCTTTTCACTGAACCAAAGCCCCAGCCCTTTTTACTTTGACATAGGGTCTTGCTAAGTTGTCCAGACCAGCTTTGAACTTGCAGTCCTCCTGCCTCAGCCTCCCAGAGTGCTGACATGGCAAGCATATGCCTGCACATCCGGTCCCCATCAGGATTTGGACTGATACAGACAGTACCACCGTGTGGACCCTCCGCCGGCCAGGATGGCACGTTGTGGAGACATAGTTGGTGTGGGGCTGGTGGGTCCCTGACTTCTCCGAAGTGGGCCTGAGGAGGTGGAGGCTGGGTCGGCCTCGCTTCCCCACCAGGGCCCTCCCTGCGGACAGAGCCTCCCTCAAGGCTGTCTCCAGAATCCACCAGCCTTGTCCCCGCCCCTGGGGGCTGCGGCCAGCGGACCCCGGGCCAGCGACTTCTCCGGGTAGATGAGATCATGGAAGGAAGAGGGGCTCACTGTGTGAAAATTTCCACTCTGAACTTGTGCGTTATTTGAGCAGGGTCAGTACCAAGCACAGCCTGGGGGACAGAAAGAACCAGAGCACTGGAGCCGCACAAGACGAAGGTGGGGGCAGTTTGGGGTCAGAGACCTGGGTTCGAAACCTGCTGCAGCCCCTTCAAGCCAGCACCACCACTTTCTCCTCAAACACCCTGCCTCCTGGGAGGCCACCCCAGAAAGCACTCCAGGGTAGCTTTGGGCGGGCGGGGCTCTCTCTGTGGCGCTTTCTCTCTGTACATGGTTTCCCATCTTGATGCTTCGGGTCTTCCTGGACCCCTGGCCGAGGCGGCATTAGGACTCTACAGTCCCAGCTCACTTTAGCACATTCGCACACACAGTGCACCCGACCCACCCACTCCTGCTGCAGGACCCCAGAGACGAGACCACTGTGGATCCCTGAACTGCAGCCGTCCGCCCTTCCTCCACACCTGCAAGACCTGCTTGGACCCAGGAAGGATAAACACCGAGCTTGTTTACATAAATCTCCCTAAAGAAACAGCTCCAGGGCCACCTAACTCGGGCCATCCTGGGCCCCTGCAGTTCAGGCCTGGCAGGATTTCCCTCCTGGGGACGTTGCCAGGCGAGGGCTCCCGGGGCTCAGGCACCTCTTCAGGGGAACAGCACCGCCTCCCCGGGACTGCTCAGCGCCCTCTCCTTCAAGCTTCCAGGAGGGATAAGGGCCCCAGGGTACTCACGGGGGTGGGGGGACAGGATACTGCTGCACCCTGGGGACACCTTGCAGGCAGGTCCTGGGGGGGAGCGTCATCCTCACCCAGGGTCCTGTGCGGGGTGGCGCACCCCTGTCCCCAGGGCTTCCCAGCTCTGCAACTTCTCCCATGCTCACAGGGCACGTGTGGAGCCCCACTCTCGTAAATGCCACGTGATCGGCCTCAAGTCCCGAGTGACAGGCAGCAGCTCAGGATGCAGGGGAATCCAGGGGCCCTGGGAGCCAGGTCAGGAGGGGCTCGCCAGGGTGCTCAGCTCTGCCTCCCGGCGATCCTCTCTTCTCACACACGAGGCCACAGTTTGGGTGAGGAGGGCCAGGCCTCCTCACACGGGGATCACTGGCCGTTTCCGCTGCTTCCGTGGACTCTGTGCCAGCCACTTCACCCCAAAGCAGTTGTAGGGGCTGCAGCTGGACTGTCCTGATGCCACAGAGGCTGGAGATGGGCAGCCAGATATGAGGTGTCCCTGGGGCCACCACAACTCACTGGCCGCCTGGTAGCAGCCACTTCCGGCTCTCCAAAAGGAAAGAGCTTCACCTTGAGGGGCCAGGGCCTGCGATGAGGGCTTCCTCGCCCAGGGGGTGGAAGAGGCGGAGCTGACCCCAGGCAAGACCAGGCAGGGCACGCTCACCCCAGCAAGGCCCGGCCCGATGGTCAGGCCACTGCGGGCTCCTGGGCAGACTGCGTCCTCGTGCCCAGCGCCAAGGCCGTCATTTGAGTCCACTGCACTGGTCAGCGCAGGCTGCTGAGACAAAGAGCCCTGAGGTCCTGACACCGCGGACCGGACTGGGGAGGGGCTGAGATCAAAGCGCTCAGGACTGGTCCTTCCTGTCACCTCTCCCAGGCTGGCGGACGGGGTCTTCCCCCCGGTGTGCACGCCCTGACCTCCCTTCCGCATGACAACAACGGCCGTGTTGAGGTGGACTGACCATAGCACAGCACTTCTCCCAAATCACCCCGGAAGGGCCCCAGCTCCACAGACTGGGGAGTCCAAGCTGCCTGTATCTTTGAGGGGGGTCTCAGTCCATAGCCCCGCTGTCCTCACTCTCGGGCGTGGTGACGGGCAATGTGGGGCAGCGTGAGCCTTTGTGTCCAGGTTCAGGAGAGAGCAGGGTCTGCACAGGGCTCTGCACGCTCAGTTGCACAGTCGTCCCCAGCCTGGTCCCTCTGCCCTGGGCAGGGGACAGACACACAGGTGGCACCCACACTCCACCTCCTCTGCTCCGGGTGAGAGCAATCCCGCAGTCTCAGAACAAGAGAGTTCCATGCGAAACCTCTCCTGCAGTAGCAAGAGCTTGGAAGTGAGTTTCTGGCACCGGTCTGTGCAACCCTGTCCCCCGCTGAGCCCCCCAGAGGCCGCAGGCGCAGAGAGGAAGGAGCAGCAAGGAGCCCCAGCGATGCCAGTGTTCTCTTCCGTACAAACGTGGCTTAAATCTGCTTACTATTAATTCTTCTTTGCGACGGGGAAGGGAAAATGGCACAAAGAGCAGAGAGCTGAATGTGTTCTCCACGGGTGTCACTGCGCCCTGCTGAATACCGCACCTGACACCAGGCCCTGTCCACCACAGGAGGGGCCCTGCCCCTTGGCAGCTGGGCCAGGGCCCTGAGAGGACATCCGAAGGCAAGGCAGAATTGCAACGGACTCATCTGATAGTGAAAACGCCACCAGTGCAGCAGGAGACTGCAGAGGAGGCCGGGACCAGGTGTAAGCACTTGTCACCCCAACTGTGACTTTCTGGGGCTCCTGCTGGGCCTGCTGTTGCACCCTCCCAGCTCCCTGGGAACTTGAGGAACCAGGAAAAGTGATAAATGGAATGAGAACATCTCCGTCACGCTGGAGACCTGTTTATTTTCTTTTTAAAAGGCTGGTTAATAACACCCAAGAACCAGAGTTTTTCTTGCCAGCGTGTGTGGGTGGGGGCTGGTTATTTTTAAACCAATGACTACTCATCTTCATTGTTAGTGTTGTAGCAAAAAAATGATTGAATCTAAAGTGTGCATGGTGTGATCTAAAAGTATGACAAAGGTTCAAATTTTTAAAAATATTCTTACAGTGAAAGACACATTGCCATGAATACCCCTCACTGTGCACACCCTCCTCACTGCGCGCACCCTCCTCACTGCGCTCCCTCCTCACTGCGCACCCTCCTCACTGCGCACCCTCCTCACTGCGCACACCCTCCTCACTGCACACCCTCCTCACCGCGCGCACCCTCCTCACCGCGCACACCCTCCTCACTGCGCACCCTCCTCACCGCGCACACCCTCCTCACCGCGCACACCCTCCTCACTGCGCACCCTCCTCACTGTGCACACCCTCCTCACTGTGCACACCCTCCTCACTGTGCACACCCTCCTCACTGTGCACACCCTCCTCACTGTGCACACCCTCCTCACTGTGCACACCCTCCTCACTGTGCACACCCTCCTCACTGTGCACACCCTCCTCACTGTGCACACCCTCCTCACTGTGCACACCCTCCTCACTGTGCACACCCTCCTCACTGTGCACACCCTCCTCACTGTGCACACCCTCCTCACTGTGCACACCCTCCTCACTGTGCACACCCTCCTCACTGTGCACACCCTCCTCACTGTGCACACCCTCCTCACTGTGCACACCCTCCTCACTGTGCACACCCTCCTCACTGTGCACACCCTCCTCACTGTGCACACCCTCCTCACTGTGCACACCCTCCTCACTGTGCACACCCTCCTCACTGTGCACACCCTCCTCACTGTGCACACCCTCCTCACTGTGCACACCCTCCTCACTGTGCACACCCTCCTCACTGTGCACACCCTCCTCACTGTGCACACCCTCCTCACTGTGCACACCCTCCTCACTGTGCACACCCTCCTCACTGTGCACACCCTCCTCACTGTGCACACCCTCCTCACTGTGCACACCCTCCTCACTGTGCACACCCTCCTCACTGTGCACACCCTCCTCACTGTGCACACCCTCCTCACTGTGCACACCCTCCTCACTGTGCACACCCTCCTCACTGTGCACACCCTCCTCACTGTGCACACCCTCCTCACTGTGCACACCCTCCTCACTGTGCACACCCTCCTCACTGTGCACACCCTCCTCACTGTGCACACCCTCCTCACTGTGCACACCCTCCTCACTGTGCACACCCTCCTCACTGTGCACACCCTCCTCACTGTGCACACCCTCCTCACTGTGCACACCCTCCTCACTGTGCACACCCTCCTCACTGTGCACACCCTCCTCACTGTGCACACCCTCCTCACTGTGCACACCCTCCTCACTGTGCACACCCTCCTCACTGTGCACACCCTCCTCACTGTGCACACCCTCCTCACTGCGCACCCTCTTCACTGCGCTCCCTCCTCACTGCGCACCCTCCTCACTGCGCGCACCCTCCTCACTGCGCGCACCCTCCTCACTGCGCACACCCTCCTCACTGTGCACCCTCCTCACTGTGCACACCCTCCTCACTGTGCACACCCTCCTCACTGCGCACCCTCTTCACTGCGCACCCTCTTCACTGCGCACCCTCCTTACTGCACATCCTCACTGCGCACACCCTCCTCGCTGCACACCCTCCTCACTGTGCACACCCTCCTCACTGCACACCCTCACTCTGCACACCCTCCTCCCATCGTCCTGGCCACTTCTGCAGCAGCTCTGGAGCCCTCTTTCCTGTCTTTATAGCTGTGCTGTCCTGGCTGCCTTGATGTCCTGAATGGATTCGAAATATTTACCATTCTTGGTCAGTTTGACTTCGAGCAAGAGCCAGAAGCCACACAGGGCCAGATCTGGTGACTACGGTGGACGAGGACATAGCACAGTGTCTTCAAGAGCTGCCTTTCTGTTGGGTGGTGCTCGGCAGCAGTCACTGCCTTTTTTATCACCCTCATAAAGACCCTCAGGAAAGAGGACCCCAGAGCTGCTGCAGAAAGTGCAAAATGAAGGCATGAGTGTACTGGAAGCAAGGGAGAGGACTCTGAGGGGCATTCATGGCGATGCATCTTTTACCGTGATGCATTTTTAAATTTAAACATTCACCATGTATTTTGGTTGCACCTTGCGCTAAGCACTGAAGGGGCGGTACACGTGTCCCTGCCCTAGGTGGGCGTCACAGGCCACCTGGGCAGGGAGGCTGTGGTCTGAGAGTCAGAGCCTGGGACTATGCAACCCATGCACTCACAGAGACAACCCTGCTCCGCACACAAAAGGAGAGGCAAGAACAGTTTGGCAAATGAAGGCCAGTCCTGAAAGCCACCGTGCTCCCCCCAGACACCTGTGGCCCAGAGCAACACACTCACCATCTCCCTTCTTCCTTCATCCTTCTCCTGCAGCTTCAGGTGCGCGGACACCTGTGGGGACAGGTACAACGACGGGACAGCTGTCAGGCATGAGCCTCACAAGGCCAGGAACCTGACGGCTCCCAGACCCCACAGGCCTCACTCCCGTGGCTCAGTGGAGGCAGTGTTGGCTGCAGAGAGCAGTGTGGGTCCCACCCTGCTGCTGGTGTCTTGGGTGAATGCTATGCCGCACCACAAGAATCAGAGGTGGGCCACGAAGAAGAGGGACCCCAGGCAGCCTGGCCTTGAGCACGCACCCAGCTGGGACAGCAGTGTGTATTTAGGAACCGCACACTGCAGCTGGTAACTGTCCACAGCTGGGACGTGCGGCACCCAAGAAGTTCTCTTGTTCTGCTTCCTTTGCTGAGATGCTCTTTATTGGGACAGCCCTGGGAGAGCTCACTCAGTAAAACTCAGCAGGACTCTGCACACCTGTCTGGGTCCTGCTCTCCCAGCACCCACGGCCTGGGGCTCACTGGGTGCCTCAGTTTCTTCCTTGCCTGCCTCATGGACAAGAGACACAGCTGAGAGGGTCCAAAGGGAGGCAGGGAGGCAGGGCAGGGGAGAAGAGGCCACAGGCCCCAGAGTGGGACGGGTCAGACTTGGCACCTGTGCAGGGCAGCTGTCTGTCGTGTGAAGCTGAGTGTCACTTCGGTCTGCCTGGTGGCTGTGAAGGGCAGGAGCAGTGCGTTAAACTGCACGGCCGTGTCTGACGTGTGGCCGGTGGCCAGTGTCATCGCTACCTGGGAGGCGGGACCTTCTATGGGAAATGGTGTAACAGGCTCAAGTTAGAAGCATTTCTCAAGGGCATCGTGGAGTCCCCCAGCTCAGAATCTAGTTGAATTTGATTCTGGAAACAAATTTCACAGTACCGCCTGGGGACAAAACTGGACAAGGGCAGAGGCATCACCAGCTGCGTCTGCCAAGGAAAGCAGCGGCTGAGCTGGAAAGTCAAAGTGATAACTGTGAGCAGGGACCACCCGGTCCCTCCCAGCCTCACTGAGAGTGAACTTGGGTCACCCAGGATGCAGATGTGATTCAGGGACCAGCACGTGGTGCATGAAGACAGTGTTTACTAAACACACAGAGCAGCAAGCACTGGGGAGGAGGAAGTCCCGGCACGGGAGACTTGTCCTGGTGTATGTGCACACCTCCCAGTTCCCTGTGCCACCAGAATGCTCTCGGGGCTCCATGATGCCCTGTTTGGGTGGAGCGGTGTGCTCTGACCTACAGAACACACAGTACTGGGATGATGGACGAGCCCTCTCTTTCTGCTCTGCACAGCACAGGTGAGAGAGCCGATCATGTATCTGAAATCACAACTTGCTTCTCTCTGCTGAGCCAGGACTCCCCGGAAATCACATGAAATGCTCCCGGCTGGTGCTTTCTGACATCTTGGGGAGGAGGCTTCACCCAGCCCAAGTCAGGAACACAGGGCAGTGCCTCTCTGGGCGGGGACATCACTGCACACACCCATCTGCTACTCTGAGAGCAACCCAGGCTCCTCATCCCCTGTGCTGCCTGGAGAGACATCACCTTGCTAGGAAGAGCAGAGAGCCACACTCTAAGTAAGCCTGGATAAGCAGCCAGAGTGCGGGGCCGATCTGAGCAGCGGGTATTCTGGCAGCTTCTACTACTCACAGTACAGCACCAGTGTGGGCTCAGCAGCCATGGGTCGGGCCCTGGGAGCCCCTGTCCAGGCAGTGGGGTCCTGGGCGGCTCAGAATGTAGCCAGGCACTCTGGAAATGCGCTGTCAGCGGCCTCCTGGACACTTCTGCGGCCCCAAAGCTAAGGGTGTAACCTCCTTCAATACCAGATTTACCCATGGAGGACCCAAGTGAAGACTCTATAGGAAGACTTATGAGCTGTGGGAAAAAGGGCGGAGCTGTCACAAGGACATGTGCACGTTGTGCGTGTGGGATCCCCTCCACTTCCTGCACATCCCATGCCCTGTTCTGGCCCACCCTGCACCACCTGGCTCCCTCCCGTACGTTGCCATTCACAGCCTAAGACCTTGGGCTCGGGCCGTGGTTCCTGCAGGCTCCGTCTCGTGCCCGCTCTGTGAGATCACACAGCTGGAGACTGCATGGAGCTCTGCGCACACAACACGCGGACCCGGAAGGGGCTCAGCCATCACTGGCTGCATGCCCACACCTGGCAGGCAGGTGAGTCAGAGGATGAGATCTCAGGGCTGGGGCACCAGGGAGGCTGGGACTTGAGCTCCCTGACAGCGGATGGATGGAAAGTCCCTCCACTGGGGGAGGAGGACTGGTTGCTAAGGAGATGATCACCTCCGTCAGGGATCAGTGATCTCAGAAACGTGACCGTGACTGACAAACAAGGTGCATTCAGCGCACAGCACAGGGGTTTTTGTCTGTGTAGCTGCCTGCACTGCAGGGAGTGCAGGGCGGCGGGACTCACCATCATGGCCTCCTGCACGGTGAGGTGGGGTAGCAGCATATCGTCCTGCATGATATAGCAGGACACCTTCCGGAAGCAGCGCAGGTCCCGGGGCAGCCCGTTGATGAGGACCGTGCCTTTCATGCCGCTCTCCCTGCGGGGTGGGGACAGGGAAGGCTGTCAGCCCTGCCCCTCCTGCTCCTCGCCGCCCGGCTGGGAGAGAGGACCTGAGAAGTGGCCTTCCAGGGACTGTGGGCACCAGGGACAGGAGACCCAGACAGGAAAGGACCGCGCTGCATGACAGGAAGCGGCTGTACTTTCTTCACCTGCTCAACACCGACACAGGGAAGCTGCCAGATGCTGCCTGGCCTGGTGGGGTCTCTGTAAGGCTGGAAACTGCTACCTCTCCCTCCTTTGTGTGTGTGTGTGTGTGTGTGTGTGTGTGTGTGTGTGTGTGTGCATGCGCACTACCGGAGACTGAACCCAAGCCCGTCACACTGAGCTACATCCCAGCCCTTTTCTATTTTCGATTGGGAGACAGGGTCTAGGTTGCTAAGTCACCAGCGCTGGGAAGGAACTGCAATCCCCCTGGCTCAGCCTCCCTGAGAGCTGGGATCACAGGTGTGCACCATCCCGCCTGGCTCGCAGATAGATGCTTTTGATAATTTATCAATTAAGTGGGGAAAGGTTAGTACCGTAGCTGATGATACAATAGAGCAGCAGTAACCACACAGGCGCTGCTCTAAAGTTGTCTGCGTCTACAGCCTCCCATTTTGGGCCATTATGAGGTAAAATGAGAGCCACTCCGTAGCACAGAGGTGGACCTGGGAACCCAGGACCTGGTAGACAGCGTGGACAGGCTGCATGAGGGACAACTCTCGTCCTTAGTGGGACACAGCAGGACAGCACGAGAGCTCACCACACTGCTCAGACAGACGAGCAGCTAAAAAGTCAGGAGCTATGTATGCTGGAATTTTCCGTGCAGTATTGTTGGGCTCTGGCTGACTGGTTCTGTGAAACTGCAGGGAGCAAAACTGTGGGTGAGGGGCATTCTTAAGGCTACTGTAGGCTACCGTTAGCAAGAAGTGAGAAGAACTGACAACTGGCTTTAGTTGGGAGCAGCGGAATTGGGCTGTAATCCTAGCTCTCTGGGAAGCTGAGGCAGGAGGCTCGAAGGTTGAGACCAGCCTGGGCAACTGAGCAAGTGCTGTCTCAAAACTTTTTTTCTTAAAGGGCTGAGGATGCAGCTCATTATGAAGACCCTGGGTTCAATCCCCAGTATTGAGGGGGGAAAAACATTCTTTACACACTTCTAAAGGTTCAGATTCATAACAATTCACAAGCAAATCCCATGACGGCCTATGATCACTAGCTTGGTTTTTTTCTCACTGTTGTTTGTTATTCTGTTTGTCACTATGCATCCCAGGCTGGCCTTGAACTCATGGTGATCCTCCTGCCTCAGCCTCCCCGAGTGCATGTACTACCATGCCTGCTATAAGGTTCTGCACCACTAAAGAAACCACAGTCCAGTCCAGATGAGCGCTCCCTCTGTCCCTTCTAAAAAAGCCTTGTCTTATTTCCCAGCACTATCCACCTTTCCTCTCCCAAACTTCACCTTCCTACTTCTGGTGCCAGCAGGGCCGGCCCAGCGCTGAGCTCCTCAGGGCCACCGCCTTGCCCACTTGCAGCCCTGCAGCACCACCGCCTTCCCTGGCATCCCTGGAGGCTCCAGCAGGCTCTGTCCCCGCGCGGGGCTGTGTCCTCACCTGTATCCGGCCAGAATGTTCATGAGCGTGGACTTCCCGGCTCCTGAGGGGCCCATGATGGCCACCAGCTCCCCGCTGCTAAACTTCCCTGAGATCCCTTTCAGGAGGGTCTTGTATCCTGCGAAAGGCAGACATGTCCACTTGGGAGCTGTCGCAGGACCTGTCCTTGGTGTCCCTGCTGCTCCCTGGCAGTGCCACGGTGGACCCGCTGCCCCTGGTGTCCCTGTCCGGGTCTCCGCAGCACGGCTGGATGGGGGCGTGACAGCAGCAGCCGCAGACATACTTCCATGTGGGATGAGGTCCCACCCTGGACCCGCTGTCCCCAGGGCAGCACACACTGGCCTGTATTAATTAGAACACCCCTGGCACTTTACTGGCCAATTATTTATTTATACTTTATACACTCATGTAAATTATTCATATAGAATTTACTTATAAATAACTGCTCATAATTAAATAATCAATACATCATTAATTCCTTCATTAATAATGAAAGGAGTCACCAATCTCATCCGATGGCTTTGGGATTCCACCAAGTCTCTTGTGTGACACTTCCAGTCCGAAGCCACACTCACGTATTTCCCAGGGACGGTAGAAACGTGCTAGGAAAGGTCAGACAGAAGCAACGGGATCCTGAACTCCAGCCCGGGAGTGTCGGCCAGCCACCGGGGAGCCGGAGTGCGTCATGGTATGGCGGCCTGACACAAGGACGCGCGGTACTTGCCCATCTCTGGCTTCAGACCCTCCCGGCCTGGGCACCCAAGCCAGCAGTCCAGGGTTTCTCCCTGACCCTCACCGATGGGACACGAGCATCCCAGTCGGTCTCCAGCTCCACTGACCTCTGGCAGGGAGTCCCTGCGGCCCTGAGGCAGCCAGGCAGACAGACGAGGAGGTCAGGGAGCTAGGGGCCTGTGGCTGGTTCGCTGAGCAGAGCAGGGTGACGGCTGCCTCAGGGATCGGGGATCAGGGATCAGGGATCATCGCTTCCACGGGAAAAGGGCCCAGGGCCTGAGGGCTGGGTGGAGGGGCAGCTCGGAGCAGCACACAGGCCTGGCTCCAACGTCCAGGCGCTCAGAGGCAGCATCCAGGCCAGGGCTGGGGAAGTAGCCCCGGGGGCCGTGTGTGTCACCCATGAGCCCTCAGCCCCAGCACCCACTCATCACTCCGCCTGTTCCGGGGGTACAAAAGCATCCGGGATGTCCAGGCGGCGCCCAAGGCTACAGGCAGGACCCTAGGAGTGTCCCTGGGACACAGGAAGTGGGACACCCACCCCGCCTCCCTGGCTCCTCTTTCTCTCCCTTCTCCTCGATCCTCTGCTTTCTGCTCCCTCTCTTCCTCCATCTTCTCTGTCTCTCCACCTCAGTTCTTACCTCCGTCTGTCCCCCTCTCTGGGAAGCAGGAAGCTCACCCTTCTCCCCGGTACCCGCTGCGGGGTGAGCACAGAGCACACTGCTGACCGGATGTTCCCACCCCACCGTGTAGGGGCAGCCGGTATAACGCACTTGGCACCGGCGAGGACAAAAGCCTCTGTTATGTCTTCAGGAGGCGTCACCTTTGGACTGGTCTGGTGGCATCCCGAGAGCTGTCCAGGTCACGAGAAAGGAGACAGCGTCCGGGCAAGACAGCTTCTCCTAGGGCCCCCAGAGGCCTGGACGTGACCAGGGCTGACCGCCACCACAGGTCCTGGGAGCCTGGAACCCTGGCATGCGAGGGACCAAGCACCTGTCCAGAGGGCGAATGGGCGGCGGGTGCCTCTCTCCCCAAGGGAGCGTGGTGACATCATGTCCTGGGCATCGCTCTCTTTCCTCCCTCGAGCAGGGCGGATGCCCAGGGGTGCCCGCCAGCGTGCGCCAGACAGCAGGAAGGCCCAGGAGCCCTGCAGCTGCAGCTTCTGGCATCGCCTGAGGTCCAGCCACACGGGGTGGCTCCGTGCCTTCAGAGCCGCTGGTGTCCCCGGGTCTCACGCTGTGTGCACCTGAACCCGTCCCCGGTAGATGGCACCTGTCCCCAGTCAACTGCAAACGGCGCCGATCAAAACGAGCTGGTTTCGGGGCAGTGACTTTGTCAAGCAAACGTTACCCAGGCATGGCGCCCGTGCAGCCGGATGAGTCCCCGTCCTGGCCCAGCCTGGCGCCTCCCCAGCCCTCAGGGTAGCTGGGAGGAAGCCGGGCAGAAGCCCAGGGCTACCGCCTGCATGTGGAGGAGAGGAGGAGGACAGGAGGGACAGTCTCCTCCCTGGACATCAGGACCACATCCCACCACCATGGAAAGACCGAGGCCCTTGCTCTGTGGACCAGAAACTGCTCCCCGCCAGCCTGCGAGCCTGTCTGCCATCCCCGACTCCAGGACCGCTGTCACCAGGCAGCGGCTCTGGGAGGAGCTGGTTTCCAGGCCACATTTCAGGATGGCATGGACTGGTGGAGGCACCAACTTTCTGCTTCCTACCACGGACAGGGCCACGGGAGGGAAATGAGAGTTCAGGGGATGCCGAGAAAGTACTGGGTTAGCACACAAGGGCTCAGAGAGGCTGAACGATGGCCTGAGGCCACACAGCATGATTTCCTCCACCTCAGCTGACCCATAGCAGCTCAACAGCTTAACCCGGGACTGTGCACCTGGTCTGCTACCGCTGGACCACTGAACAGGATGGGAAGAATCCCCACTCCCTGCCCCAGAAAGTAGAAATCCCCCAGTCTCCAGGGCCAGGTGGGCCCTGGGAGTGGGCAGGGCCTTTCCAACACCAGTGTTTTGAAAGCCAAGGCCAAAAAACCCCTTTGTCCATCAGAAAGCACATCCACCTTCCAGATAATTATTCCTCTCTTTATGGCCTTCCCCCCATAAAACTTTCTAGATTAAAGAAAAAGAACGCTCAGCCTGGAGTGGAGGTGCACTTGTCAGCCCAGAACTCTGGGAGGCTGAGGCAGGAACACTGCAAGTAGCTCAGCGTGAAGGCCCTGGGTTCAGTTCCAGTACTGCAGACAGACAACCTCTGGCCAGAGTGTTCTTCCGCCTCTTGGAAGAGGTCAAGCCCTGCTGGTGTGGAGCCGCTCAAGACAGAGACCCCTCCTGCCAGCTGCCACCACGGCCGCCCAGCAACAAAGGGAGCAGCCGGCATGGGGGAGATCGGGGGCTGTGGGCTGGGGCCCTTGGGAGCCTCAGGCCCCCAATCCCGGCTCCCTGTGGAGTTGACAAGGTCCAGGCAGGGACACAGGGTGGAGCAGCCGCAGGGCCAGTCCCCAGCGGCACAGAGCCTCACTGTCTCCCACGCTGAGCTGGGCGGATCCTGGGGACGTGGGCGGCGGGAGAACGGGCCTTGTGCTGTGACTGTGTCAACAGCAGATGCCACAGGGATCGCTCAGTGACTGTGGACTCCATGGGAGTTCACAACCACAAACACAGTCTCGGACAAACAGAATGAGTCCTCCTGAGGCCCCACCAAGAGTCTCGACCTTGCTTCCTTCACCCTCCAGCCACTGGCTGCACAGGTGGCCGGGCTAGGCGGGAGGCCTCTCCTCCAGGCCTGGAGGTGGTGCAGTGGCCCTGGCATAGGTGAGGACCACACACCAGGGGCTCCTGCAGACAGAGCGGCATCACCTCTCTCTCTCCTTGCAAACAGCATGGTTCAAGTATAGCCCTGAGCTTTTGAACACTGCCTCAGCTGCCACAGACCAAGGCACAATAATCCAGCAGGAGCCCTGGTCCCCAGGCCCAGGGCCTCAGAGCGGGATCTGGCAGCACCGGGGCCACCTGGGAACACGGCCCTCCCAGGTCTCCTCTGCTGGGACAGACACTGCCAAGGCCAATGGAACCCGGGTGAAGACAGATGCACCTTTCCTGGTAGAGTGGCGGGGACAGGTATGGGGCCAGGGGGCTGAGGCAGGCCCTGGGGAAGTGGGTTTAAACCGCCACCTTCACTTCTGCTCCCAGCACAGGAAATGTGCCCGCTGACAAGGCTGCTGGGGTGCTGCCCTCTGCCCCTCACCCAACTTCCCACAGTGCTCTCCGCAAGGGAAGGAAGCCACTGCCGTGGCCACAGCCTCCAGAGCCGCCTGCAGCAGGCACCTGTCACGGGAAGTCTTGGGGGAGCCGGGAAGCAGACCTGAGTCCCTCCTCTAGAGAGGGACGGTTAGATGTGGGGGTGGGGGGGGAGGAATGGCAGGAGAGGGGGAGAGGGGGGGGGGG